AATTAGAATGGAATTTTAATTGTTATAGTAGTGGTAAGAGAGAAGAATTTTAAGATATACTGTGATATTAGCTAGATGAAAGCATTGAAAATGAAATGATAAAGAAATATGTAAGAAAAATATGGTAGAAGTGGAAAAAAATAAGATATGGTGGAAAATGATTATAAATGAATATGTGATAAAGATGAATGAATAGAGTTTGTATACATTAAATTTCAATAGAAATGTGAAAATAAGTAATTTGATAATATTAATTTTGATATCAGTATAAAAATGTTAATTGTAAAGAGAAAGATAAGGCTGAAATTATGAAAGTGACTGCAAAAAAGAAGAAATAGAACTGTTTGTGACAAATCACAGCAGGAGGGAAGGTGAAAATTAAAATAAGAATATCATTAATTTTGATAATATCAATAATTATTGACTATTATTAATTATTATTGATAATAATATCAATATTTTGATAATAATGGAAATTAAGATGAATATTTTATTGTTTGTGATTGGGTAGGGAATTAGAGATTCTTCCAGAAATTGAGGAAGAAAGTAAACAATTGGAGTGATTGTAATAGAGAAGAAACATAAGGCGTGATGTTATTTAAAAATAAAATTGAAAAGGATAAAAAATGATGGAAAGAAAATAATATGGCAGAAGTTGAAATAAGAAGAGATGGAGAAAAATTATAAATTTGTGATAAAGGATACATAAAAGAGATAAATATTGGAAAAAACGGGAAGATTAAGATATAGTATAATGATGATTTTGATTATATAGAGTTATATAAGATGTATAAGATGTGACCTGGTTAGAACTCTATTCATAAAATATGTATGATGAAAAGAAAAAATTTCCAATAAAACTTGTCTATGTATATATAAAAAAGAAAGCAGTCATGGTTTTTTTGTATTTATATGTATTATGTTTGTATTATTTGTATTAAAAAAGAAAAAAGAAACCTGAGGTGTCCTCTCCCCTGAGGCCAACTCCTCCCCTGTTCCTGAACCATTGGTGGAAGGTGAACAACATTTTGAAGTTAAGGAAATCTTGGACTCCTGTACATATCAAGGGACCCTCCAATACCTGGTGGTGTGGAAAGATTTTCTCACCACCCAAAACAAATGGGTTAATCACCACCACGTTAGAGCCCTAAATTAATCAAATGGTTTCACACCCAATATCCTAATAAACCTAAATGAGACAAAATGTTTCCTTTTTCTTTCCTGTTATGTTATGTGCTGCAGGTATAAGCCATCCTTCTTTTGGGAGGGCAGCATGTCAGGTCCCCTGCTGGGATGCTGCCATTCCGCTGAAGAAGGGGAAAGGAGGCTATTGGGGTTGCATTCTCTGCATGCTTTCGCTTTTTCTAGTAACCGTGTAAGATTTAGAGAGGGGGGCTATCCTGTAGACAGATGGGCTTCCCCCCAGCTGGTCCTAGCCTGACACCAAGGTCACTACGCCCTGGGGATTAAGCTAATACCTCGGAGTTCTCAAAACAGCTATGCGACATTGTATTGGCTGCCGATGGACTGGTAAAGGTGGGTGAAGTTTGAATAGCTTAACACTTTGGGTGAGAACTTCAGACTCCGCCTGACTTCTCTGCAATCATTCTCTCAAAAGTTCCTTTTGATAATTAATTGTTTCAAGAGTCCTGAGGGAGTAGCTGAGGCAGGTCCTTACAGTTGTTGCTCCATTGCTGGAGATTTTCAGGAAAAGATTGGATATCCATTTGTTATAAGGTCTCCTGTTTTGGGCAGGAGGTTGGACTAGAAATCCTCCAAAGTTCCTTCCAGAAATATGATTCTATGATTCTGTTTGGTTTAACTTGTTCTGGTTATATTTGAGATAGATTTTCTAGTTTGTGAATGACAGAGGCCCACCTGTTTTTCCTTTCCCTGTAGTGTGAGGATTGCATCCATCCTACCAGATCTCCTCCTAACAGTCACTATTTTAGTGTTTAGCACTGCTACCAGGTCATTTTGTGCATTCTATTGTTTTCCATTTTCCTGACACATTTCATAACATTAGATACAACAACTAGAAAGCCAGTTTCCTTCCCTCTGACTTCCCACTTCTCTTTCACTTTCCACCCACACATTGCAGAATACAGTAAAAGTGGGATTCATTTAACCCAAATGTCTATAAAGATATCCCAAACCCAAGAAAATGAATTGCACAGGTTGCGAAAGGATCAATTATATCAAAACAAAAATTCTGAAAGTAAACTAACAGCAATAAAAAACTTTCTGGAAAAAATACTAAATTGATTATGGCTTGCTAATGTTAGTTATGTACACTCTGTTGCATGATCCTTTGTCCTATTGATTATGGAACTTTTGGAATGCCTTTCAAAATAAATATATTTATAAAGGCATCTAGAAGCTCAAGATCAACAGGAACTAACACCATTCACATACAGTACATACAGTACAGATAAATACAAGTAAATGCAGCTAGGCATTAGACCAATCACACTCATACAACTAGGTTTTGCTTTTACTTCACTTGGGTCTGACAGTGGTGCATGCACTTTGCCTGCTTTCTTTTGAAGACCTCCCACATTACCCCATCCACATGAACTCCAGCTTCTCCATAGGAATCTTTACAAAAAACTGCAGTAGCTTATTTATAAAGGAGAATATTTGTAGCTCAGGGGTCCTTGGTATTCTCTGGGCTTGCTTGTTTTCTTGCAAATGTTTCATTACCCTAACTAGCTAGCACTGATGATGTTACCTAGTTAGGGTAATGAAATGTCTGCAAGAAAACAAGCAAGCTCAGAGAGCACCAAGGACTCCTCAGTAGCTTATCTTTCAGGCAGTTAGGCTGAGCAGAGAACAAGAACTTTTTCTTCTTCCTGGGCTTTGTACTCTGCTACTAGTCAAGCATCATGTTTGCGACCTCAGAGTCAGCACACTTGGGCCCATAAACCTTTTTTGGCCATAGATTGATGTTGGTAAACCATGCAAAAGAGAATAGGTGAATCACCCTATAATTCTTAGAGTGAGACTTAAATGGAGTCTCTTCCAAAGTGAGTCTCCCTCAGCAGTTTTACTCATTAAGCAAGTGACTTATTCAAGGTATGACCCAGGTAAATTGATGTTTGTGATGCAGACACTCTTGGCTATATAAGACCAGTGAACAGGCTACTGTTAGTCCCCTCTATTTTAAGAGGGGCAGAAAAATCTAGCAAGGGGAGATTGTTTTAAAAGAAAACAAGGTACTCCAGCAAATAAGCCTCCAGGTATGAGTAATGCCATAATACCTCATTATCTGCCTTGGATACAACACTTTTGTTCCTGATGATGTTGGTAAAGAAGAGATGTACTGCTAGGCAACCAGTGCAAGTTGGTTGTCCATACTGGAGAGGTGCTGTTTCTTCACCTTTCTCTGGCTCAGTCAGAGAGCACAGAACATTGCACAAGAAAATTCAAATAGTAAAACCCAGTTTGCAAGAGACAAACACCAATCACAGTAACTAAAATAGAACAATTTAAACACTGTTTCTGCCTGGAATAACTGAATTTCAGATGATACACAGAACAAAATATCCAAAATACAAGTTGGCTTGCATCCATACTTTTGACAGCTTTGTCTGTTCTGTTTTAATTCTTGTTTTTGTGGGTATGATTTGGCCACAGTGAATCAGTGATTTCTCCATGCAGTTAATCCAGTTAACGTGGGTTGTGATTGGTTGGTAGGTTGCCTGGAAGTAGTTCTGTAGTTCAAGTAGTTCTGAATGCAGTGGTCAGATTGTAAATTTGGGCAGAATGGAATTAACACTGATTCTGAAGATAGTGCTGACCTTAAGCATTTGCATGCAGTATTCAAACCAAAGCCTTTAAAGTCTGAAACTGCTTGAAGCCTAAATATTTGAAACAATGTCTACATATGTCAGCCTCCTCATGACTTGAGATTTGTCATAATTGACTGGAGTTTCTTATAGATCATCAACAATAATAATCTAGGTTATGATGCCTTCACAATGGCATATTTCCCACAAACTGTAACCTATTCATAGTTATTTTAATGATGGCTGAATATCTTGTTTGAATATCTTGTTTTCCCAAGATTACTGATATTAATATGTGAATTTTGTGTTTTCTTCTTTCTCGGCGTTAAAAGGATTATCTATAAAATGAAGGGTGGATTTTAACATGTTCCAATAAATAAATAGTATAGCACTTGCACTGTGTATTTACTCAGTGTTCTAGGACAGCGGTCACCAACCTGTAGTCCGCAGACCACTGGTGGTCCGTGAGAAAATTTTGGTGGTCTGCAGAAAAATTATTTGCATTTTTTATTATTGAACTAAATACTATTTATCTTTTTTAAAAAATCATATCAGTGGTCCGCGGGATTTACAATTATGAATTTAGTGGTCCCTGAGGTCTGAAAGGTTGGTGACCCCTGTTCTATGAGATTTTTCAAGTACTGCTTTTCCTGTTTAAGAAAGGTTATAGTTAGTTAACTTTATTGTAGTCATTAATCAGCACAAAAGAATTGGTATTCAAATATTCAAATTATCTAAAACTAAATTGACAATCTCATGATAGTTAATAAAAGTACATACTATAAATTGTACCAATATAATGTAAGATAATTTTATATTTATAGGAAATTCTTTTTATCCAGGACACAAATAGAAGTATACCATAACTCTGATATTTGTAGATTTCAAACTTTCTTTACCCGTTGATATCTAATATTTTTGAAAGTATTAGAAAGTAACCTGAGAATACTCAAGAGTAATATACTTTTTTCTGTCTAGAACCTGGATGTCAAACTCACCATGTCACGTTGCCATCATGTGATGTATCGCAATGTTTTTTCCCTTCGCGGAGCTTGGATGGGTGTGGCCTGCACGTGACTTATCCAGCCTGCAGGCCACCAGTTTGACACCCCTGGTCTAGAATCACAGAATTTTGTATTGTAACCACAAGAAAACATCCAAAACTCACATTTTGTGCATCCCTATTTACAGCTTTGGCTATTTTTTTCCTAGGGGGTCATGAAAACTTTGCCAAAATGATTGATGAAGCAGAAGTATTGGAGTTCCCCATGGTCGTGAAGAACACGCGAGGTCATAGAGGTGGGTATGAGAGTCTAGATATGATTGTTATAGTGTTAAATGAGAGTTGTTTTGTTGAAAATGTTTAGCTGCAAAATACTACAAATCTTCATCTTAAATACAAAGTTTTAAGTCCTCCAGTTGTGGCCGCCTTTCTTGCAGAGCTTCATTGTGACCCGCTGGGAAGCCGTCGCTTGGCCCTTTTTGCTCCCCACAGAGAGTGCACCCGATTTGCCCACGAGTACTTTTTTTTTGTGACCTGATCCTTGCCGGCAATGCTGCGGGCAAGAACTGGCCACACCTATCCTGCTTCAGGGATAAGACCCCCAATAATAAGGCCAAGGCCATATTTCGGGATCAAAAGAAAATAAGACCCTGTCTTATTTTTGGGGAAACACGGTATATTCCTTGTAGGAAAATAATTATTTAATATACAGTACTTCCACTTTCTCTGAGAGTTTTTGGGTTAAAAAATGCTACTTGTTATTTATTTCATTTTATTCACAAGTAACTCCTTACAGCAGTGGTCCCCAACCTTTGCAGCTTGGTGGCCCGGCTGAGGGGGGGAAGGACAACTGGGCTGTGCAAGTGGTGGGCTGGCACGCACACACATGCACACACAACTCAACGAGCCAAGGCCAGTGCATGCACATGAGTGCATGCTGACCCACTGTTTGTGTGAGTTGAGCTGTGTGCATGTGCACACTGGCCTGCTGTTCGCACGAGTTAAGCTCTGCATGCAGGCAGGCATGTCAGCCCACCACTTGTACGGCCCAGTTTTGAAAAGGCTATGGCCCGGTAGTGGGTTGCACCCCAGGGGTTGGGGACCCCTGCCTTACAGTGGTATTTTTTGTCTCCCTACAGTTTGCTGATGCAATTTATTCTAGCCAATCTTGTGAAATTACAATTACTTTAAGTTAATTTGAAATTATATCTGATTCCCCCCCCAAACAAATGAGAAGATTTTATTTAAATCCACATAAAATAGAATAGTTGAAGAGATAGAATCTCTTGGAAGAGCAATGTAAGATGATTATATTGCAGGTATTGCAGAAGTCTGCAGAAGGAGGCTTCAATTTAACTCTGCTGTTCTTCAAGTTTGCCTGATGTTCTTCAGTACAGTTTCAGATATAATGTTGCTTTTGAGGATGACTTCAAAATGAAATTACTGCATTTGGGGAACCATTCTTTTTCATAAAAAAATAGGTAATATGAACATTTTGAAATTTAAGTTATAAATAATGCAATAGTAGCTAAATAAAAAACTAACATACAATTCTAAAATAATTGTATCACTCATGTGGACCTATTGTATGATTTTGTTCTCCTATCATGTCACTGGGTTGTATAAATTAAGGTGGACTGCTCTGTCTCACCAAAAATAGACCCTAGCAGAAGCAAGAACACCACTGACCCATGAAGCATCATGGATGAGTCAGCATTAATCTTTAACTGATACATCCTAGAGATTCCCAGATAGGGACTTGAGTGTATTTCAGCTTCATCCAAATCTGTTAAAAGCACATTTTGAAAAGGAAAATGCGGGCACTAAAAGAAAAGAAAAGTATTATTGTATCACCCTCAAATCTTCCCAGCTCAGTAGAATGTAGAATTACAGAAAACCTACAGATTCCCTGCAGTACTTCTGCATGAGGAGACAAAATTTTGCAGAGAACAAAAAAAGAAAATTCCAAACTCAGCAGTAATAGAATAAATTGCTACATTAGCTACAGCAGTAGGTCCAACCTATAGCAGTAATTGACAATATCTCTGCAATATGGTCATCCATAGTGGAACATATTGTAACAAGTGCCCTGCCAGGTCGTACCCCATCTAATCCAGCAGTTATCTCATAGTACCCAACCAATTGTACAAGAAAGCCTAATAGTCTCCCAGCAGCTAGACTTCAGAGGAGTGATAGCCAGATTTGGCTCTAGGTTTTGCCTCAGTTTACATTCCCAGTAAGCAACTGAGGGGTTAGGTCATTTAGAAGCAATTTATTAAGGTACCCCAATAAAGTGGGATCACCCTATGAAAAGGGAGAACCTCAAAACCCATCTTGCATTCCTTTTTATAGTTAACACAAAAAGAAAATGCAAGAGGAAAGTTGTTTGGACAGGATAAAAGTTACATATTTGCATCCCATAGTATCACACATATTGCCGCTGTCGTCAATGAGGTCTGTCGTCAGAAGGGGCATAAATTTTAAGAAAAAAGGTTGTTTGAAATTATTCTGAGTAATTTTACTGAGTAACCTCTGATTCTAGTATTTTGGGAAAGGGAAAATAGCTTCTCCTCCCACCTCCCACCTCAATCCTATCCCTTCTCGTTCACTACTTTAGCCCAAAAAACAGTTCCATGGAGGGAAATCCTTCCTTGGAGGGAAGCTTTTCCAACTCCTTGATCATTTTAGTTGCCATTTTCTGAACCTTCTCCAGCTGCACTATATCATTTTTATAAGTGTAGCAACCAGAACTGCACACAATATTCCAGATGTGGTTGCAAGATAGATAGATAGATAGAATATACATGAGTACATCAGATTCCTTAATGAAGAAATTTTAAATAGAATCAACATCTTTCATATTAGTTATTGAAAAAAATGATTATTTATAAAATCCTCCCTAAGATAGAATGAAATATGTTTTATTTATTAATGATATTATCCTAAATATGGTTGTATTCAACTAAAGGATATTTATCAATAAATTTAACATTTGAATAAATGTATTTAATGTGAATTTTGATTTGGCAAGAATTTTAAATAGGTTTTATATTCCATTGCTATACTAATTATTTTAATTGGCAACTACAATTTAATTGGGACTGGTTTGCTTTGATTCTTCAATTAATCATGAACAGCACCTTGGAATCTCTGCCATCTTTAGACTGTGATTGGTGCAGCCCTCTGTTTTATGTGTCTAGAGAATCCCAAACCTGTTGCAATACACTCTTGCAACCTAGTTCTACTAGAATAGCACGGAATGGTACAGGCCAAGATTGAAGGATACTGAGAGATCTATACTGAGGGAGTGAGAACCTGAATAAGCCCTGGAAATTGTGAGTGTACTTCAAGGTAATATTTTCCAAATTTTGCTGTTTAAGTAGCACTAAATTTAAAAGTGCTTTGCCATTTTTATTTATATTCATTCCCCAGTGTTATCAAGATAATGTTTCCAGTACAGAAGTTGAGAATGTATAGACACACTGCCTTTCCAGCTCTTTAAAATACAGGCAGGAAAATCACTGACTAGTTTTCATCTTCTATGTTTTTTTGTTTTTGTTTTTGTTTTTGTTTGTTTTTTTTGATGCAGGAAAAGCTGTGTTTCTTGCCAGAGACAAACACCATCTGGCAGACCTGAGCCATCTAATTCGTCATGAAGCCCCTTATCTATTCCAGAAATATGTCCAGGAGTCTCATGGCAAAGATGTGCGTGTCATCGTGGTGGGAGGCCGTGTCGTGGGCACTATGCTGCGTTGCTCAACAGATGGTAGAATGCAGAGCAATTGCTCACTTGGTAAGAATGAAAATGTGTTTGAATTTACTATATATGCTGAATTTTTAAATTCTAATTTAAGGCATGCCGTACTTTTCGGAATATAAGACGCACTTTTTCCCCCTAAAAGAGGGTGGAAATGTTGGCGCGTCTTATACACTGAATACAGCCATTTTTGGGCACCTGAAACCCCGCCCTGCACGTCCTGTTTTTGCCAAAAACAGGCCCGTTTTTTGCAAAAATGGGGCCTGCAGAGGGCTTGGGAGGCCTGCAGAGTGCTCCTGGGGGCTGGGGAGGGTAAAAATGCGATGCGTGGGGTGTTTGGGAGGCCAAAAACGGCCCCATTTTTCATGTAAATAGGCCCGTTTTTAGCAAAAACAGGGTTGTTTTTGCCCTCCCCAGCCCCCCGGAGCACTCAGCAGGCCTCCCAAACCCTCTCCAGGCCCCGTTTTTGTGAAAAATGGGCCATGTTTGGCCTCCCAAACCCCCTCCCCACGTTGCATTTTTGCCCTCCCCAGCCCCCAGAAGCACTCTGCTGGTCTCCCAAACCCTCTGCAAATTTTTTTGTGAAAATGGGCCTGTTTTTTGCAAAAACGGGACGCATAGAGGAGGCCTGCAGAGTGCTCCCGGGGGCCGGGGAGGGCAAAAACTTTTTTTTCTTGTTTACCTCTTCGAAATCTTGGTGCGTCTTATAGTCCGAAAAATACAGTACATTTTTCATAGACAGTGCTATCTTAAATGTAAAGATTATTTTGAAAGAAACAAATAGAATAAACTTTGATTTAATGGACTAAAAGGAAAATCACTATCTAAGCTTGCATATACACTAAATAGCAAATTGGATTTTTCAAGTTCTAAAACATGCTCTTACATAGAAAAACTAATAACATCAAACACCTTTTGATGAGAACCATTGGTTATTATATGAACTATCTCACCAAACAACATATTTGTGTTTGTTGTTTGGGTCAAAGTCCTGAAAGTTGATCAAAACTCAGATCTAACAATCTTTTATCCATTAAATTTTAAGTCCACTAAATTAAGTAATTGCTGTATAAAATTTGTATTTGTATAGATTGCCTTTACATTTACCGTATATTCCGGCGTATAAGACGACTGGGCGTATAAGACGACCCCCAACTTTTCCTGTTAAAATATAGGGTTTGGGCTATACTCGCCATATAAGACTGCCCCTCTTCCAATGCACACCAAATAAAAATTAAAAAACATCAACTGGCTCACCTACAATGTAAAAGCAGCTGTGCTAGACCCAAAATGGCCCCTGTAACAAGCAGGAACCTCACACAGCCACAAAAAGCCCCCCCAAAAAACTTTCACACTCTAAACACACACAACACAACACAACTGGCTCACCCACAATGTAAAAGCAGCTGTGCTAGACCCAAAATGGCCCCTGCAACAAGCAGGAACCTCACACAGCCACAAAAAGTCCAAAAAACCAACTTTCACACTTTACACACACAAAATTCCACATACAGCTTTGTGAGATTTTGTGTGTTTGTGTAGTTGGAGTGAAACACTACAGAAACACACTAAATCTCAGAAAGCTGCACAAATATTGTTTTATTTTATTTTATTTTTATTTTTATATGAAAGCTAAATTTAAAACTTCCTAAACTTTAAATGGCTAGGTCTAAAAAAGAACAACTAAAAAAACCCCAATTGACTATTTTTTTTAAAGCTCCCAAAGGGGAAAAAAACTTACCCAATAGAACAGGGGTCTCCAACCTTGGCAACTTTAAGACTTGTAGACTTCAACTCCCAGAATTCCTCAGCCAGCTTTGCTTTGCTGGCTGAGGAATTCTGGGAGTTGAAGTCCACAACTAACTCCTTGCTTGATTGCAGGCAGGGAGTTGCTTGCTTGCCTGAATAGATTCAGGCAAGCAAAGCAAGGCAAGCGTTGCGACTAGCAGCTGAGGTAAGCAAGCTGGAGGGGGAAAACTTTTTCCCTTTTACATGGCTCTGGCCATCCCAGCTGAGTTGAAGGGAACTCAGCTGGGATGGGATCGACCGTCAGAACTGGGACCGTCAGAGCCATGGTTCTGGCGATCCCAGCTGAGTTGCAGGGAACTCAGCTGGGATCGTCAGAGCTGGGATCCTCAGAGTAAAAGGTAAAAACCTTTTTTCCTTTTACGTGGTTTCTGGCGATCCCAGCTGAATTGCAGGGAACTCAGCTGGGATTGTCAGAGCTGGGATCGTCAGAGCTGGGATCGCCAGAGCCATTTAAGGCTCGTCAGAGCCTTTCGGGCTGGTCTGCCTGGTTACAGGAGAACGACACCCGGCGTATAAGACGACCCCCGACTTTTGAGAAGATTTTCATGTGTTAAAAAGTCGTCTTATACGCCGGAAAATACGGTACATTATTTCTGCAGTTTCCTTTTGGATCATTCTCCCAATCATTTACTATAGTTAAAGAGTAGATAGGCCATTTTATGTGCTGAGCCAACATCATGCAATTTCACATGGTATAATCACCAGAGCCTTTTTTTAATATCAACATCCTAGAATATTAAATCAATCTCACCGCAAAGTCTTACAAAAACGTTAACTTTCTCTACCCTGATCATGAGAATTTGTATAAGTACCAGCCAGGCCATCCACGCCCTGATGCCTGCCTCGCGGCAATGCAGCAGGAGCCCACATGGTAGGCTGGTGCAGGGCACATGGAGCAGCATCACCCTCCCACCTCGCCTCATGGCTGCAGCACCAACAGATCACTCGGCCTCCTACTCCATTGCAGCTGCAAGCAAGCAGAAGAAGTGGCCCGACGGCCACACAGAGTCCTGCTGGAGCCGCTGCAGCAAGGTGAGGCAAATGTAGGGGTGTGCATGGCCTGGCTGCAGGGGCCCTGAGATAAGCCGGTGCGGGGGCATGGGGCAGCTCCACCCCGTCTGCTTTACGGTGGCAGCACTGATGTGCCGCACGGCCTCCTACACCACTGCGAACAATCAGAAGAAGTGGGCCTCCCATACATAGGGGAAAAAAATAAGACACCCTCTGAAAATAAGCCTTAGGGCTTATTTTGTGGCCCAAAAGAAAATAAGAGCCGGTCTTATTTTCGGGGAAACACAGTACATTGAAACTTCATGAGACTTCTAGTATTAGTAATTTTAAAAATTGTTTTTTTTTAAATTGGTTTATATGGTAGTGCAAGTGCCTTGGTATCTGGAGATGCCACACTATCTTTGTACTAGTAATAGTCATTTCTTCTATCTGGAAATTAACACTCTGAAATGGCCTATATTCTGGATCAATTCTCCTCTTTGTGGCCTTGTTTCCAACGTTGATACTATTTCATCGGCTTTCATAAGTGTTCTATATTCCTATTTTATTTCATTCAGTCCTTTATTTCATCTCTCTGAGATGAGAGTGGGGAACAAATGCATGGTGAAACACAGGTAAGCCTAACTGTAATTGTGAATCAGTTAAATAAATGGTATGATTGAAAATAAAGATAAATAAAGAAGATATATTAGCCTCTATTGGTTACCTTCTTATTCACCCATCAAAGTTTTTCTAGAGCGCATTTAGTTTTAACACTAGCAATTAGATTCCTTTTTTTAATTTAAAATGGAAAATCCTCGCAAAATTTCTTAAATACCATAATAAGCATTAAAATATCATAGCACTCTCTGTGGCTCATGTAGGTTTATTGATTGAGAATTTGAGTTGGAATACTATTGTACCCTGATTTAGCTTTCTTCCTGTTACTAGGTGGTATAGGTATGATGTGCTCACTCAGTGAACAAGGGAAACAACTGGCAATCCAAGTTTCTAACATCTTGGGGATGGATATCTGTGGCATCGACCTCCTAATGAAGGATGATGGCTCGTTCTGCGTCTGTGAGGCCAATGCAAATGTAGGTTTCATTGCCTTTGACAAGGCTTGCAATCTAGATGTAGCTGGTATCATAGCGGACTATGCCGCTTCACTGCTTCCTCCCGGTCGCTTGACACGACGCATGTCCTTGCTCTCTGTGGTATCCACGGCTAGCGAGACTAGCGAGCCAGAGCTGGGACCTCCAGCTAGTGCCACTGTCGACAATATGAGTGCTAGCTCCAGCTCTGTCGACAGCGACCCTGAAACCACAGAGAGAGAGTTGCTCACCAAGCTCCCGGGGGGGATATTCAATATGAACCAGCTAATAGCCAATGAGATTAAGCTCCTAGTGGAGTGATGCCACATGTAAATAACTATGACCAACTTTCTTGTAAATTTTTTTTTAAAATACAACCAACTTGTAGTGCTGTTTATTGGAAGCAGCTTATAGAGGTGAGGTGAGGGTTTTAACTTGGGGCTCAGAATCAAAACATGCATGTTCTGTGAATGCTGCTTTCCTATTAATCTTACAGAACATATGTTTAGTTGTTATTTTTAACAACTATTTTTCATTTGATAATACTTTGTTTAATACTCTGCATTGGGAAATGGAGGAAAAGAACTGGATAAGAATTGTTTTTGATAGGGATGCCATTATGATTTTTGAACTCATATGAAAATGTTTCATCTTCATTTATGCTATTTGTAATTTGAAAAGTTAATGCTCCAAAAGCACCTGTGAACAAATACTTTGCCAACCATCCCCTCACCTCATTGGAGCTCATTCCTATTAGTTATTATATGCCTTTTGCTTTATGTCCTATAGGAGTGGAGAGAAATTAGAACACCCATTTTTTATTTCATTCAGAGGTTCTAAATATCAGCATTTCTATCTATTATCAATAAGATCTGTAAAATTATATCCCTGGCAACAGTCCACAGTTGCCTCTGAAATTCTAGCCTTTAAGCAGTTTTACAGGGTGCAATATTGATTACTTCAGCATGAGCTTTTGAAATAAACCTGCAACTTCTGCCATTTCTGTATTGACAGATGTCCACATGCTTAGATTTAAAATCAAATTCGCTTTCCTTGAGAGAAAAAAATTACTATGTATCTGAATTTTAAAAATAATTTTAAAACCTTGCTTTAGGTCAGGATGGGGAGAAACTGTGTGTAAAATTCAGTTTGGGCCATTGATGGCAGAAGCGGCATGTTTTCTTTTGCACAAGAACTGAGATAAACAACACTGTTAACTTTTGGTGTACAAAATAATGTTTAATCCAATGTGAAAAAGAATAACACTAGTTTAAAACAAATGTGCATTGACTTGTATTTGTTAGTGTTTTAGTCCTTTTTGCAAGATATATGCTGTGTTAATGTTTCATTTTTAATACATGCTTGTCCAACACTTCCTTCTCCATGCCTACATCTTTAACAGGGGCCCAATTTGAAAAATACCTGTACTACTCAACATCACCACTAATAGTAACAAACTTATACAAAAATATCTGATGCCTAGAAAATATGGGAGGGGTGTGGAGGAGGGTTGAAACGGATGCAAATTTCAAAATTACATTTTGTAAATTTAATGTGTCACTATTATTGATAGAAGGCATTAAAATCTAAAGTGGTCTGATTTACAAAGGATAAATCCTGAAAGAAACAAGCAGGTTTTGGTTTTGGGAAACACTTTGCCAGTAAGGCCCAGCCAGAATGGGAATATGATTTAAGGCCGCCAGTGTGTGGATCTCAGGCCCCTTTGTATGTGTCTGTATTTTGCTTTGTTTTTGTCATTAATTTTTGTCTGTCCAGTTCGTCAGTCTTTTTTCCAGAATGCCTGATGATCTCCTCTCCCAGTCCATCCCTGATACTTCTGGCTGTGCATTTTCTTATTAAATTTGATAAAAGAACCAAAACAACAGCTTTGGGTCTGTTTTAATGGCCTCATCTTCCTCCTCCTCACCCATTTCTCACTCATTTATTTACTTTGGGTATATACCATATTGAAATTATAGAAAAATGTAAATAAAATCCTGTTACTTTAAAAACAGCCATCCGCAACACGACACAGTAGAATATTTGTAACAGCAAGTTGGCTTATGAAAGGGTTTTGGAGGATGGGCAGCTTCTGTGTGTAGGGTTATTTTGTCTCAGTGCTTCAGAACAACAATTTACCCTCCAGGGCTCTGAGCTTCATTCTACTAGCCAACTTCACCACTCAACTGTTTTAACTTTCACTTCGGTATTAAACATCACTTGTGAACACTTTACAGAGACACTAGGAATAAATAGAAAACTATTAGCTTGCTTTCATGAAGGTTAATCATGCTTATTTGTACAGGTTTTTAAAATGCAATAATAACATTTTTGTAGAATTAAACATTGTTAAAAACAAAATACAAGAATGATTGTTGGCATTGGCTGATGAAGCAGAAACGATATTTTAGCGTGTGTAGGTTTAAGAAAATACAAAGGTTTCTATTTTAAAAAAACTCAGAAAAAAGAAAAACCCGAAGTAGCTTTCTTTCCTTCTGCTTTGTGGCCCTTCACCCCTTTGTTAACTAGACATGTGCCTTCTAAAATACAGGTTTCTTTAAAAGATTGCACATCTTTCAGAAATATGAGCAAAGAATTAACCTTTGTTAACTAGCAGAAAAATATTGCAACATTTACAGGAAACAAAGTTGATGCCAGAAGAAGCTTGACAATTCTTTAATACTTCTGATTTGGGCTGTTTGAGTTTCTCCACTGTTTGAGAAAAACAGTTTGTGACAAATGTTTTTCACATGAATTTTTTTCAAAATGTGTAGACCCAATTTACACCACTATAAATGCAATGGAATGACATACATTTTGTTTTGAATCATACACAATGGATACATTAAGGGATTTTATACTTTGGTTAATGTGTTGGCCATGTGATGGCCATGTGTGTGTTGTGGTTGTATTGGAAAGATGGAAAAGAGACTGAATAACGTTTGGGCAAAGAAAAGTCTCACACGTTGTTGAAATAGAAGTTGGCATTGCATGTCAAAATGACATAGGAAATTCTCTGCTTGAAAAAAATGGGGTGGTACATTCCCTCCTTACGTAATGTAATTTTTTTTAAAAAAATGTTGTAAAAGAAGTTTTAAAAACATTACTATTGGTAAAGAAAATGAATTTAGTTTCTAATAACTAGAGTTTAAGTTCTGTAGAGAGTAGTGCTACACATCACACTTCGCTGGAAAAAAATACTGAGAAGTATATTAAGAGTACCAATATTACTTAACATAATTTGAAATGAACAACTAGTAAAGCAGAATTGAACAATTGGGAAAAATAGAAGCTGTAGTGAATGTCAGCATTCAAATGATACCAAGTTTGGATGATAATGATGGAGTTTAATGAGTACTGTATGTTTTGTTTGTGCTTTTATTTTACAGATGCTATGTTTATACTTTTTCTACTGTATAGAATTACAGGTTGTATTTGTAGCTTTGTATCTCCTCAGATTTTATATTGTTGATAAAACTTCTCATTCTGGAACACTTTGGTAGAACATTAATAACAGATGTTGGGAGGACAACATATTTGTGGACTATTTTTGTTGTTGTTGTGTTCCACCAAACTTTCAACCTGTTGGATCAAACTACACTGACTTTGTTCAGCAATTTACCAAGAATTTATTTAGAAGATATGCCAAGAAAAATGTTTTGAACCTGTGAAATTTGGAAAGAAAAAAATAAAAGACAGTTTTAGAAGTGCTGCATTGGACATGTACCAGACTTGATGAATACTGTTTTAAACTTCATATCCTCCCAGTTAATAAAAGCAGAGCTCAAGTTGGTTAAATGTATAAGGGTTTAAACTATGTAAGATGTATCAATATGTACAATTCTTTCTCATGGCTCACTCTTTTTGAGAAGGTTTATGAGCTATTTGGCTGGTGTGAGACTCACGACCCACTCCTGTTCTCTCTATGGAATTGTAGGTGCTCAGACAGGTAACCTCTGCTGCTACTGTCTCTTTCATTTTTAATTTTTCACTATTCTAGGAATTTATAAAGTACTATAGAATTTATGACAAAAGGTTATATTTTTGCTTTCTTTTTCTTTTTAATATATATTTGAGTGTCTTGATATTGGAGGGTGAATTTTGGGATGTTCTGATGATGGCTTGGACCATCATTGGCAATTTCTGTATCCCTAATGTTACAGTTTTCAGTTGAATGACTTTTATTTGTTTAATGCATTGTCAATAACTTGATGTTTTGGGGTAGGAATTTGTAACATTTAAGGAATCACTGTGTAGTACATACTACTTTTTTCTGAATGTTCTAACAATTCACACTTTCTTACTGTTCTTTGCAAAACTTTTCAGGAGCCAAAAAAGTCAAACAATCCAGAGAAAAACTTCCCTTCTCCCCTTTCTGGTGACAAGAGAGAGAGAGAGAGAGAGAGAGCTTGTGAAAATCCTTGAGAATGTTCCTCCCTAAACTTCCCCCCCCTGTGGTAAAACAATAAACGCAGCAGCCCGGTGGCATCCAATACCAACCCCTTGGCAGGTAACTTTCAGCTCTTGATCATCCCATATTAGCTAACACTGCTTTCCTTTTTTCTCTTCCTCAGTCATAATATGATTATTGCTGTAAAAGAATGAGTTTTAGGAAGCAAATGGTATTTCTTTTCTTGTTCTTCATTTTGTGTATATTTAGCAGAATTAGACTTTAAAGCTTATTGTGATCCATGTGTTCAAGTAGGATCACAGCAAGAGAAAATTTAAGCAGTGTGCAGTGACAGAAAGAAGGGATGGGATGGTATGTAACTTCACAGATTCTGCCATCTCGATCTTCCCATGTACCTACCTCTTCTTGCTGCCCCTTCCCCCAATATACGTTCTTGGCTTAAGTTTTACAGGGCTTTGATGCTTTCCAGGGGCACAGTCAGCACAAAACTAATCGGCATCAATTAACAGGTACGGAAAATAGGAGTAAAAAGTTTATATAATTTTCTATTTCTTATAGCAGGGCTTGGGTGGAGGGCATTGTGTACTTGCAAAAATTCAGAGGGGGATTTTATTTCAGGAATTTTCTATATGTGTTGCTCAGTATACTGCTATTTATTAGTAATAATGAACAATCTGAATAATTTCTTAATACTTTACTTTTGGTTTAATATTCAAATATCTGCATAAACATATGACAGCAGTGACATAATCAGTGGTAGAAATGATGGCTAATATGAAAGAACAAAATATTCCAGATGAACATCCCCCAAATAATTTTGCATGGGAGCGCACACATGTCTTATTACAAGAAAAGTGTTTTCTTTTGTCAGGTTAACTTTATAGTTATATGGCTTTGAAATTTAAAAGTGCCAAGATATTCTGCTAAAATAGATTAAGATAGGTTAAAAGCAGTATTTTTTTATGTGGAAGATTTACTATTATTTCTATAACTTCTATTTTTCACGAATACTTAGTTTCTCACAGACATAGCAAACATTTTTGCAACTTTATTTGAAACAAAAATGGTTGCTCTTCAAAAGTCTTATAAAATTGTCTTCCCTGTTATTTTTGACCCAGAGGCATTGCGTAAAGAGAAAAACATTAGATTAAAATTCGCTGTTGAACAGACTTTTTTTTCCTTCTCTTGCCAATTTTTAGACTTTTTGACACAATCTGATTCCTACTGCAATTCTTGTGACTTGAAAAAGCTAAACAAGAGGAAGGATAATATTGCAAATTGTTCCTTAAAATTGTCAACACTCATGCAAATTAGCAGTTGCTGGAATTGGGGGGAGAAGTGGAAAAGTGATATTAAAGCAATAGGATGCTGTTCAACAATATCAAATTTTCACTTTGCTTGCACTAAAAGGGCAATCCAATAAGGCAGACATTTGGCACTGCCCAGAGTTCCAGCTTTCAGGAAATGGTGTTTTACTTTTTAATGTTCTATGTGAATTAAGTTTATGATTTGCAGAGTTTGGTTAGAAATATACCGGTATTTGGGAAAAAAAATATGGTACTATGAAAGAGGAAAGTAATAACTAGGTATGCTTAGTGCAACAGAAGATCTTTTGTGTTGAAATGTGATGGTAACGTAACAGAAGCATCTGGTGGCATTTGTATTTTTAATCTGCCATGTAGTATCCATCTGTAAGGATACCTCCAAAGTTTATTATTTTGGTCTTCTGTCCAATATTTTTCTGAAGGAGATGGGAGGTATGGGAGGAAAGATTGTAGTGAGCTTCATGCCTTTAAAGGATCCCCATTGTGTGGTTTTTCTGTGAGCTGAACAAGAACTTCTTCTATATGCCCTTGTGCTGCAACAGAATAATAAAACTGGTAGGTGGCAGCAGAAGAAGGAGATTATACAGATGGCACCCGAGAACAGAGAATGCTGCCATGTGGGGAGAGATGGATTCCAAAATATTAGCAGATGTAACGTGCAAAGATGAGAGACAGCTTCCTTGACTTGTTACTCTGCATGGTGAGTCTGACCCTTGATCAGTTCTTATTCACCATAACGGATATGTTAAAAGCACATTTCTGTTTAATCTGGAATGCTGACTAAGGGAGCTGACAGATTTAGGTATTTCTCTTAATTTCATTATCACTTTCTTAAAACAAGTTGAAGGCCATTATTCTCAACTTTTTTCCTTTAACAACTACATCCTTATGTTAAATATACAAAAGTGATGTTGTAGATTAATTATCACTTTCTTCTATCCTGCATTGATTCTATTCATGCACATAGAGATGAAGCTGTCACTAAGGATGGGAAATACGTTTATAGTGTGAATAGAATGGGAAATGAAGCAATTTCTTAGGAACACTTATCTCCATTTATTTGCCCAGAGGTAATATACTGTGTAAAACAGAAAAGTAGGAATAGTTTTCATTAAGAAGAAAATTTCAGCATCTAAATAAATGTCAAACAAAAATGTGTTCTCTAAAAAGTTCAAAATTAATTTCCTTTGGCTCTAATACTTTCTTTCTGGCCTTTTCAAAATCATGCTTTGAACCTCCCAATTTTTGAGGCTTATTGGAAATTAGTTTTAGCACTGCAAAATTGTGAATCAGAACATTTCTTTTAGCTGTTGATCATAGTGTAAGAGGAATATCATGCTTAATCTCAGAGTTGTGTATTAAGCACAGTGTAAATCATTCAGTATCTCATAATTTGAAGAACGTTCTGTGGCATTAACAATAATTTCCTCACAGGTGAATTACTGTTATAATTGTAGGAATCACTGGTATCTAAGCAGTACTTCCATTTGTAGGAAAGATGTCCTAGGAGGAGCAATTTATTTGTGGTGCCATATATGTGAATGTGGTATACAGTTTGACAAAGTATCTCAGGAATTTTATTATATGCAAAAGAAGAATGTAAAGAAAAGAGGGAGGGAGGGTAGAAAATAGAAAGAAAGAAGGAAAGAAAGAAAGAGAAAGAAAACAGAAAGAAAGACTCACAAAGGAATATAAGAGATTTGTATTGTATTAAATGCTACATTAGTAGCATTAAATGCTACATTAGTAGTATTTAGGTAGAAGTTTCCTGTTTTAAATGTTTTAGGCCCAGTACTCTTCAGTATCTTCATAAAATATTTAGATGAGGGAATAGAAAGGGAATCTTATTGTTGGGGAAGTGTTGTCAAATCTGCAAACAACATTAAACTGGCAGGAATAGCCAATATCCCAGAAGATAGGATCCAGAAGAATATCAACAAACTTGAACACTAGGCCCTGTCTAACAAAATGAAATTCAGTGTAGAGAAAAGTAAAGTCCTATACTTAGGCAAGAAAAACCAAATGTACAAGTACAGATTAGGTGAAACTTGGCTCAATAGCAGTAACTGCAAGAGAGATCTTGGAGTCCTAGTGGACAATCACTTAAATATGAGCTAGCAGTGTGCAATCCTAGGCTGCACTAACAGAGGGATAGAATCAAGATTACGTGAAGTGTTAGTACCACTTATAAGGCCTTGGTAAGACCACACTTGGAATATCGCATCCAGTTTTGGTTATCACAATATAAAAAAGATGTTGAGGCTCTTGAAAGAGTGCAGAGATGAGCAATAAAGATGATTGGGGACTGAGGCTAAAACATATGACGAATGGGGTTTGCGACAACTCGCCACAGCCAAATCACTGTGGTCAACTCGCCATGCCCAACTCGCTATGGGACAATTCGTCACGGAAGAAAAGTTACATTTATATCAAAGAAATAGTGGAATAGAATAATTAGAGAAAGGATGCCAAAGGAGGGACAAAATGAAATGTGAACAACAAAAATTAAAATGATTTTTAAATTATTTTAAATAATTGAATTGTTGAATTGTCCTGCAGTGAGTTGACCCACGGCGAATTAGTTGTGGTGAGTTGTCCCACCACAAATTGGCCATGGTGAGTTGGCTGCGTGAATTGGCCATGGCAAGTTGATCGTGGTGAGTTGGCTACAGCAAGTTATCCCATTCTGTGAAGAACAGTTGCAGAAATTGGGTATGTCTAGTTTAGTGAAAAGAAGGGACTAGGGTGACATTATAGCAATGTTCTAATATTTGCTGCTACAAAGAAGAGGGGGTCCACCTATTTTCTATCACATCAGAAGGCAAGACAAGAAGCAATGGTTGGAAACTAATCAAGGAGAGAAGCAATCTAGAACTAAGGAGAAATTTCCTGACAGGGAGAACAATCATCCAAGGGTATGGCTTGCCTTCAGGAGTTTTGGGTGCTCCATCACTGGAGGATTTTAAAAGGAGACTGGACAGCCATTTGAAATAGGGCAGTGATGGCTGTGCTGTGATGGCAGTGATGGCTAACCTTTTTGCCATTGTGTGCCAGGAGAGGGGGGGTGCTGCCCACACCCATAATTCTATGCGCTCTGCCCTGTGCATGCACGTGTAACCCCGCTCCCTCCCCCCTCTAGCTCCTGGCACGTGATGGCCCGGTAGGCCCGTTTTTCTTTCTCACCTGGCTCCAGATCCTTTATGCATCTAGGAAGGGCGAAAACAGCCTTTCCCACTCGCTCGGAGGCCTGAAACGGCCCATTTCCCAACTCCCAGTGGGACAGGAAGTAACGTTTTTTGCTGTCCCCAGCCTCCAGAGCCTCTCTAGGAGTTTAATTCAATTCCCTGACTTTCTTAACTTAAGTTTGTACATTTACATATATACAGGATTATTTTCAGCTTGGGGCCCAAGTCATTGTTTGGGTAAAGGTAGAATTAGAATTGTGTTTAAAAATAATTTTATATTGGGCAAGTTTGGTATTTTCAAATATTTGTCATTCTCTTTTGCTCTTTGAAAAATCCCATTTTGTCTTCTACATTTTACAAAATACACCCCAAAATATACAGTGTTTCTTTGAGAATAAAAGCAAATAGATAAGACTAATAGGCTAATGATAAATAAAGCACCATAGCTGGTAATGGAATGGCAAAACAACTATTAAAATCTAAGTGAAAGAAAATAACAGGATAGGTTCAACCAGACATAAACTAGAGCTACACCTTTTTGCCAGCATCAGGTCCAGTCAGAACTTTTTCACTAATTGAGTGTTTGTTCCAGCAGTCTCATTTCCCACCTTTTCAGGTATCATATTTTAAAAATATAGTTGATCTCTGTAAAAGCATTTTTAAATTAGTACAATTGCTCCATGAGAGCAATTTCGTGGGAAAGAGTCATGTATGGGGAGGCAAGGATTGACTTCATCTTGCCTTCCATGCTACAGTTTGCCTCTTGCAAATGCTCACATGGCAAAAAGATTTTGAAAATGTTTCATTAGTACTTTATCCTCTTCTCTCAGACATATCAAAAATTAACAGGCAGAATGACAGTATGTGCCAGCTGTCACCACTTCTTCTCCACTGATTTGTAGCCCTGGACAACACTACTCTGAGGAAATGTGGCCCTGAAAAGAGGTGATTTCCCAGTTGCACTCTGATAGGTCTCAGGGTGATCATAATGAATCCACAATCATCCATTGGACTTTTTGGTCACAATGCCTACCCTCAAGAATACTGTACCCACAAGATGAGATTCCAAAACACTGAAGATCTAGATGTGCTCCAGAAGATTAAATGGACCATGAGATGTTATTGTTGAATGTTTATTAGAATTATTGTATAATCCATTGTAGGCTTTTAGGCTTTTATTGATATTGGTTTTTGTATTATTTCTGGTATGTTGTTAGTTACCCAGAGTCACATCTGCAAGATGGGCAGACATAAAAATCAATACATATATAATTAAAAGGTTTTTAATATTTCCCCTAAGTCCTATATTGGAACTTGCATTCAAGTAAAATGTTGCAAGTTTGTCTGAAGTGTTTGAATTCCTCAGGTGTCAGTTCTCTATCCTGACCATGTTGATTGGGTGTTGAGAGAAATATTTCCTGCTATTTTAAGTGTTCAATTTTACTTCACCTAGTTAATATTTTGCAGAAAAACAACTTTCTTGATCTGGAAGACCTAAGTACCTCAGTAAGATTGGAGGCATTTGCAGTTCCTTGAAGGAGGCAGCAGATAGACCCTTATCTATAGATCAAACATTTCTTTTTGGGATAAAAATAACTGAGTAGACTGTGGCAGTGGAAATGTATTGATGGGATTTTTTTTTCCAGTTTAGATTAAATCATGAATTATGTAGATTCTAGTAATGTTATGGGTGAGAACAAAAGCTCAGTTAAAATGAAGTACTTTGGGGCAAATTTAAGCTAACCAGAAAGATAGTATTCAGCCTGTGCAAATTTGGGTAACACTTGAAATGAATTAGATTAGCATAATGATTAAAAACAGGACATTTTTTGATATGTCAAATAGCAATGAGATCTGTGATTCTGATTCACAGTTTCTGAAATTCAGCTTACACTTCCTATAATTACAAGCGTCTGCATATTTTGTAGTAGTAGAAATGTGCTTTCTAGCTTCAAACACAAGGAAAGCTTAAATCACAGAACCACAAGGAAAATAACAATGTTGGGCTGAGGCTGAGAACTGGACCCAAGATTGTAGTAGTAGTTAATTGTCCTGGAGTAGTTTGTTTCAGTTTATTTTCTAATTCTATTGTGTATCAAAAAATTAACTTACTTTTTAGTGGGAATATTCTTTTTATGGCATTAAAAATGCCTACTTGAGGGAATAGTTAGAATCTGTAAATAGATAGTCCTCAATTTTCAATAGTTCATTTAATGAATGTTCAAAGTTACAACAGCACTAAAAAAAGTGACATGACTATTTTTCACACTTACAATCTTAGTAGCATCCCCATGCTCATGTGATCAAAATTCAGATGCTTGGCAACTGGTTCATACTTATAACTGTTGCTGTATCCCAAGGTTATGTGATCACTTTTTGCAACCTTTTGACAAGCAAAATCAGTGGGGAAGCCAGATTCACTTAACAACTGTGGCAAGAAGGGTCGTAAAATGGGACAAAACTCATTTAACAAATGTCTCACAACAGAAATTTTAGCCTCAATTGTGGTCGTAAGGCAAAAACTTATCTGTATATAGTAGAAAGAATGACAGCATATTTTAGCCCCTTTGAAGGGGCTTTTTAAGGCTTCTGAACACAGCTCCTCCTTAGACGTTCTCAACACAGGGCAGGACTGTCTGTATTTTTCATGTCAAATCACACAAACCTATATCCTTAGCTCTCTAGAGGTTGGGAATAGTCTGATCTGCCCATTCAAGATCCAGTTGTGGAACAACAGACAGCTATTCTGAATTGGTGTATTATGATCTGAGTTTGAGGATGGATTTGTCCAAAACTGAATCCAATCCTGCTCTTTTGGCTCTGTAGTATGGCATTTGATATAAACACTTGAAAGATTTATTTAAGCTTGGTTGCTATAGTGCATGATTTGCAGCACAGTAAGTAGAAGAATGATTAAGAAGCAAAAAGTAGGTGAATACAAAACATGGCATATTTGTACCACCAATTCTGCATTATACAAGCAGGAATCTATCTTGAATTACCAAATTCATTTTGGAATGAGCCTCATCTGGATCCAAGAATTATGTTGTTTTTCATAAGCATCTTAAAGGAAGATTTGTGGTAATTTATAATACAATTTGTTTATTTTTATATAGCCCTTTGGGCACAAAGGAACCAATGTGTAATTACTTAAAATAGTTGCTTTTGCAACATTTTAAAAAGTAAATTCTGAAATCCAGGTGTATCCTTTTTTCTATCTAAAAGCAAAGAAGAAGAAGAAGCAACTTCATAATAAGGGTCCCAGGTGGAGTATGTGGCAGGCAATATGTAAAATGATCAGTTACCTTGATGTTTCCCAATACAGATTTTACCCTGCAGGTCTGTAGAAAAGGAAGTGGGAGAAGATAAACATCAGATCTCCTCTGCAAAAAACAACTTCCCAACCGTGCTATGCAGCTTTTCAAGAAGGACACAGGTCTATCAAATTTATAGCTCTGTTGTAAAGTAACGTATTCACCTCTGGATGACTTTGCAAGCAAAAATAATGTGTGTCATTCCATATCTTTATTTTAAAGGGAAGAATGAGTAAAGATACCCAATTGTTCCCTCACATGAGCAGCAGAATTTACCACTGCTGAGGGTATTTTGATATTACCATATTTCCCCGAAAATAAGACAGGACTTATTTTCTTTTGGGCCCCAAAATAAGCACTAGGGCTTGTTTTCAGGGGTGTCTTATTTTGCAGCTGCCTGCCCGCTCCCTCCCACCATCTGCTTGCCCGTGGCAGCTTACAGGGCTTCCCAGGGCAGACACACTTTTTGCCCAGACAGAGAAATGACGGAGACTTGAAACTTTGCCTGCTTGCAAATGGGATGCTTTGAAACGGAGCTAAGCATGTTGAATTCGCCTGCCTACCCACCCTCCATGTCTCTGCCTCTGCCTGGCTCTACCACGTACTTTTTGCCCAGAGGGAGATGAATCTTCGGGTGCTTGCAAATGGGATGCTTTGAAACAAAGCTAATTGCTTCGTCTCCCTCTGGGTGAAAAGTGCACAGCAGAGCCAGGTGGAGGCAGAGGCATGGGGTTGGTGGGGAGGCAAGGAATCCCAATGCGCCACCCACTCCGTTCCATTGTCTCTCAGCTTGCTTGCAGTCGTGCCAGGCAGGCACTCATGCAGGGCATCGGGATTGCCTTCCTCCCACTCCCCCATGCCTCTGCTTCTGCCAGTGCCACTGCACAAGCCTCCCATGAGCCAGGCAGCCACGCAGCAAGTCCGGATCATCTGTCTCTCCCCCCTTCCCGCCTCTGCCTCTGCACTCAGACCTATCTGCGCTGTTCCAAGGGGCCAGCGGGCTGCAGCTACTTCCGGACACTGTTGGCCCTGCGCACTCGCCATCTCTTATGCTGGCCATACCCATCCCTGGGCTTATTTTTGGGGTGGGCCTTATATTAGGCCCACCCCAAAAAATCAGGCTAGTGCTTATTTTCAGAATGGGTCTTATTTTCGGGAAAACATGCTATTAAAGAGATGAGCATATTTGCCATGTGCTTCCAAAGGTCTTGCAAGCAAACTGCTTCTCTCAGAATTCTATTTTGTTTCAGTTGGCAATTTCTGAGAAGAACTATGGGAATGTCAAGGAAACAGATAATATTAATTTGTTCTGAAATCACTTATCCACATTTTTCTTTTCTATTAAATATTTTCACAGGACTCTTTGATGCTATAGGTCAGCAGGCCAGAGATGCAAGCCAGAGACTGCAATTTTTGTACTGCGGCCCAGGTAATGCAGGACTAGGAGGCAGTGGCAGCAGCATGCTCTTACAATCAGTTTTTGCTCATAAACTCTAATTGTGCCTTTCCACCCCCAATATTAAAGAATCATCTTCAAGGCTAATTGCTGAGTCTCTATTGGCCACCAGTGAAGCCAACTACTCGGATGGTTTTAGTGATGCTTATATTTTCATTTCCCTTTAAGTTTTCCCTTAGTTATCTTATATTGTCCTGACCATTTCTCTTTCTGACTTATTTCTGTAGGTTTTATGAAGAATCAAGCATCATTCCTTCCTCCCCTTTTAAGAATTGTGTTCCTTGCCATTTTGTTTCTTCAGTTCTAAAAGGAATGAATCGCGATGCACAATGTCCAGTGCTGGAAAAATGACAGCAGTGTTAATGTATAGATAAAATGGAAGTTATTCAATAAAAAGTTAATTTTTAATTTGAGTGTGCAGTGTGTCAGGTATGCCTCCTTTCACAACTCAAGAAAGAAAAACCCCGACTCCCATTTCATAGAGAAAGGTACTTTTACTGAGTATGAACTGAATGCAACCAAAGAAAAGCAAGGTCTGAGGCAATAGGCGCGAAAATCACATATAGAAAGCATCCCCAAAACCCTCCTCCCAAGGGTCCAGTAAGGATTATCCAATCCACATCTCCCCAAGTGTCATGTGGGGTGCAGCTTCAGATGGCTCCATCCTTCTGGTATGCCAGGACGGTTGACCTTGACTTGTTATCAGAACGCCTTCCAGCTGCAGAGAAAGCGCTGAGAAAAACTTTCTCCACTTCACTCCCTGTTACAAGACATCTTTTTTTTTCTTACTTTTTTTTTTTATTGCAAAAGTTTTACAATTACATTTTCACCCCTTTTCCCCACCCCACCCCCCCAAACTTCCCAACCTCCCTAACCCTCCCTAACCCTCCCCTCCCCCCAGACTTCCCTATAATATACTCATACTCATAAAGAATCCTAATATAACACTTATATATAAACTTGAACCCCTCCCTCCCCTGTATAATTTTTCTCTTTACCTCATTACATTAAAAAATTTCCAATACATTATTTTCAAATAAAAGCTATTTGATACTTTCTAGTTTGATATTTGTTCTGAATGTATTCTATCCACCTTTTCCATTCCCACTCATAAGTCTCTTGTGAACAGTCTTTTAAATATGCTGAAATGTTCGCCATCTCTGCAAAACTAGCCATCTTCAAAGTCCATTCCTCAATAGTGGGCAAGGCTTCATTCTTCCAATATTTACCTATCAACAATCTTGCTGCTGTTATCATATACAATATCAATTTTGTTTCACTCAATGTAAAACCCTTAACTATACCCAATAAAAACAGTTGTGGAGAAAATTGAATTTTTTTCTTCAAAACATTCTGCATGACCCACCAAATTTTTTATCCAAAAAGCCTTAACTTTCCTACAGGTCCACCAAACATGATAATACGTAGCATCCAAACATTCACATCTCCAACATTTTGGCTGAACATTAGGGTACATACATGACAACTTTTTGGGATCTAAATGCCATCTATAAAACATTTTGTAGAAATTTTCCCTCAGATTCTGCGACTGTGTAAATTTAACATTCTGAACCCAATTTTTTTCCCATGTTTCCAGCATCACTGGTTCTTCAAAATTCTGTGCCCACTTAATCATACAGTCTTTAACTAATTCGGTTTCTGAATCTCTTTCTAGCAAAACATTATAAAGCCTTTTGATATGCATTGGACCTTTCTCTCTTATATGTCTAACCAATTCTTCCTCATGCAACATAATACCAGTTTTTTGGTCCTCTTTCCATCTCAATTGTAATTGATTATATTGTAGCCAAGTTAAATTAATCCCTTCGTCCAACAGTGTCTGCAATGTCTTCAGCTGCCATCTGCCCGCATCTGTAAAAAGAACCTCTTTATATAAAACCCCCCCGAGTGACATTATATTTGTATTCCACAAAGTATGACGAAGATCCAGCCATAGCGGTATTTTATAATCCCATTTGAGTCGGTGCTTCTTCCAAACTCTCATCAAAGAGTCTCTAAGTATATGACTTTTAAATACTTTATCTACTTTGTCGTCGTAAAATAAGTAAGCATGCCATCCAAATTCAAGATCAAAACTTTCTGCATTCAATATTCCAGCCTTTTTACTTCCAAACCAATCACTTGTTAAAGTTAAAGCTGCTGCATCATAATATAGCTGTAGGTTTGGAAGTTTAAGACCTCCTCTTTCTGGAACATCTTGCATAATTTTCAATTTCACTCTCGGCTTCTTCTCGTTCCAGACAAACTTATTCACTCCAGATTGCCAAACTTTCAATTGTTTATCACTTTTAAGCACCGGAATCATTTGAAACAAAAAAGAAATCTTGGCAAAATGTTCATCTTAACTGCTGCTATTCTTCCAAGTAGAGACAGCTGCAGTTTTTTCCAAGTCTCCATGTCTTTCTGCACCTCTCGCCACAACACCTCATAGTTATTTTGAAACAATTTCATGTTTGATTCTGCAACCTGAACTCCTAGATATTTTACCTTAGGTACAGTCTCAAAACCTGCCCTCCTTTCAAGCTCATGTTTACGATCTTGTGTCATGTTTTTAGCTATCATTTTAGTCTTTTTGGATTCAGTCTAAAACCTGAAACTTTACCATAGTCTTGTATAATGTCCTTCATCAGGATTCCATTGGTTGTCTTCGGCGACGGCGGCGCCCTTTGAAGCTCCGCCAGCCCCGCCGCCCCTAGAGCCGCTCCGAGACGAGGAAGCGGCTCGAAAACTTCTAAATCCGTAGGATTGAAGAAGGAGAGATCGCAGGGTACAGGTTGAGCCCCTGTAACCCCCCAGGGAAGTTTCTGGGGAGAGAACAGGCGTGGCTCCCTCCCAACCTGCTGAAACTCCGGGCGACGTGGGACGATTCTGCCTTTGCAGAACAAGCCGGCTGCAGGAAACTTAAAGCGAAAGAACCAGCTTTAATCAACAGTGAAACTATCTGAATCCTGAATCTTGGAAACGCAAGTATCAGCGCTTTGTTGACTTTTCAATCTGAGAAAACGCGAATGAGTGAAAGTGCTTAGAAAAAAACATGGCGTTTAGCCTCAGAGTTAACGAGCCAGCGAGTGTGGATTGGTGAAGTTATCGGGCTTTGTTACAAAGTTTCCAAGTTGCTACAAAGTTGCCTTGCTTGTTATAAGAGAAACAATTGGAAAATTTCTCCCTTTCAAAATTTGACTTTGCTTTACTTCAACCTTTATTTGATCAAATCTGGGGGACTTTTTTAGAAGTCTTTGTGCAGGAGGGAAAGGAAAAGGAACTTCCCTCTTTAGAAAAACTAGATCACGTGGCAGGATGGCTTCAAAGAAGCAGGAAGGGAAGGCAACAGGGGGGGGATCCCCCACACATAAACATGAAACGCAACTTCCCCCTGCTCAGCAGTTACAGACTCAGAAAAAAGAATTTGATGTGGGAGATTTAAAAGAATTTATTTCTAAAACTTTGGCTGATAAATTTCAAAAATCTCAACAGGAGATAGATGATAAACTTCAAAAATCACATCAGGGGATAGATGATAAACTTCAAAAAGCACACCAGGAATTTATGCAGGAAATTAATGAAGTTAAAGATATGGTGAAACAGAATCAAAACAAGGTGACCAAAAAAATATCAGAAGTGGCATCTGGCCTGGCAGAATTTATTGGGAAAGTTGATTTTAAAGTTGAAGAATTTAAATCAGAAGTTAATGTTAAGATGAAAGACAATGATTATAAAATTGCTGATGTTGACAATAAAATGCAGAGAGTTGAAGACGAGATTGTCACGATACAATTCAGGGCAATGGAGTTTGCTATACGGCTTCGAGGAATTCGAGAGGAGGAAAGACAGGATTTGAGACAAGTCTGTTCTGAGGCCCTGGCTAAGATTTTACAAGTTAATCCAGATGTGATTTTTCACAAAATAGACAAAATTTACAGAGTGAACTCTTGGGTGGCCAGACAAAGACAATTACCTAGAGATGTAGTCATATATTTTACAGATAGAGAAATAAGAAATGATATCCTGCAAAAATCCTTTTACACTTCCGTACAAGTGGGGGGCTCACGAATTGGAATTTATAAAGAATTACCTCCTAAAATGCTGAAAGCTAGAAAAGAATTTGGTTTTCTCGTTAAAGAATTGCAAAATTTACAGATATCTTTCCGGTGGGACGCACCAGTTGGCATAATTTTCAGATACAAGGGAGAAAGATACCGTTTGAATACCATGGAGAAGGCACAGCACTTCTACACTACTATTCTCAAGGAAAGAACACCATCTCCACGTACATCTACAGTTTTGGAGACTAAAGAGAGTGAAGAGAAGCAACCTCAACGAGAACTGCAAGAACAGTCTAAGCAGGAATTAGAAGAAGTGCAAGGTGCAGAAGGAGGTTTTCTGGATGAGCCCTTGCTGGAATCTTCTCCAATCTTGGACCCGGTTCGGATGATTGAAGTTAAGGATCAACGTATAACTCGAGCTCAAGCTAAGTTACTTAAACAAAAGCAACAACAACAACAACAGGAAAGACAAGGCAAGGAGGCAGATAAGAGTACTGCACAAGAGATCGGAGCTATGGGAGGAGCGAGATCGAAGCTTTCGGATGATCTTCAATTATTTTGCTCTTTGCTCCAGAAAGAGGCTGATGATGCTTAAGTGTTTATCCTGGAATGTTAATGGGTTGAATTCAGCACAGAAAAGGAAGAAATTATTTACATATTTGAAACAATTTAATAATGATATAATTTGTTTACAAGAAACGCATATCACAACTCAAGATCAAAAATATTTGATAAACTCCAAACTAGGAACACATTTTATATCTTCAACTTCGCAAAAAAAGAATGGTGTGGTAATTTATGTAAATAAAAAGTTAACAGCTAAAGTTATAGAAACAGATGAAGATGGTAGGTTTGTAGCAATTGAATTGTCTACCGCAAATGGCCAAATTCTTCTGATTGGGATTTATGCTCCCAATCAACAACAGGACTATTTCTATAAGATGTTACATACTAAAATATTGCAATGGGATTACAGATCTATTTTAATTATGGGAGACTGGAATGGAGTAATCGACTCTAAATTAGATAAAAAGAGTTTGGCAAAGTCTAGAATCAGATTACCACAGACCTTTTTTGATATGAAAGAAGATATGGAACTAAAAGATGTTTGGAGAATACATAATCCAAAAGAATTGGACTATACTTTTTTTTCTGACAGACACAGATCCTTCTCTAGGATTGACTTTATTTTGTTGACAGATGATTTACTTGTTAAGACAAAAAGAACAAAGATTTTTCCAAGAACTTTGACTGACCATAGCCCAGTATGGATAGAAATTGAGATGGACAAGGTTGAGAGACGTTCTTGGAGATTAAATGAGAATTTGTTTAGATATGAAAAAAATACA